TCACTCTGTTTGTTAAATTCAAAAACTGACTTTGTCAAATTTCAATTCATATATTTGAAAAGAACTTATTCAGAAACGTAATATGCTTTGCTCTTATAGAGAAATGTTACACAGTTGAGCAAAGAAGTGAAATGAGAGCACGAAGAATCATTCATTGTGATTAAACCTCCTTAAGACTGGTCAATTATTGTCGGCTATCTAGTTACTGATAACCTCCGAACGCTAAAGCCTCTTAGAGCTTTAATCACCAACGTATGGGTTAGCTTATTATTTCGTAACGCAAAAGCAAATTGCCAGCTGCTACTGCAAAATATACCCAAATGCTGTATTTTTATGAGCAATTAATGAAAAGAAGCTTGCTTTTTCTGAGATTTGGAAGCTCTAAGAACATTTTCTTTCTGCCTAGAAACAAAAGAACGTTACCGGCTAGCTGATTTATGATGATTGCTTTCAATGGCTTCTGTCAGTTATAAGCACTAGACACGCCATAATGTCGTGTTTTGCTGGTTCTGGCGTGGAAGTCTGAAAGAGCAGATATTTTACATTGAGTGCAATAATTTTTGGAGTGACCCAATCTCAGACAACGATTTTCTTAACATTATGAATTTTTCGTACTCTCTGGGTTTCTTACAAGTTTTTCGAGAGCTCAGAGACAAACATATATTATTATTTTGAGCATCTAAAGGACCGTTAAACATTTGGTCAAAACTTCATTTGTCTGCAGTTTTAAAAACATGTCCGAATGTATTTTCGCTGCTGTTTTTTGCTTTAACTTACATCCAGTGTAAATGTTTGTACTCTTTTTGATCATCATCACCGAGAACGGAGACCTAGGGTTCGAGCGACTGTGGCCCTCTTCACAAGCCTTTTAGAAATGTTTCGATCTTGTGCAAGTCTGTCAATTTTTACCAATGACCCTCTCCAACTGCAAACTTGTCCTCCCTCTACCATGCCTGCCGTGAGCCATGCTAGAGAGGAGAGTCTTCTCGAGGCAACCTTGTTTCATTATTTGGTCGATGACAGTAAGCTGGCGAGCGTAGATCATGTTCAGCTATCTTTTTCGGCTTCACAATCTTTCACAACAAATCTTCGTTTCTTTTTATTCTTGTCCAACTAATGTGCAGAATTAAACGGTAGCATCATGATTTGAACCTTTCTTACTTTTTCTTGTAAGCAGTTAGTATGCCAAGATAATTCATGTTGTATGCCTTTTCACGTTCGTCTCTCATCTACAGCTTGATAAACATTTCCTCGATGTTTTTTCGTGATAAATGATTTCGGGGAAGTGACGTAGTAAATACTTTTGGATTTAATCGGGCATAGGTTGCTAGCTCTAAACACATCAATCACGTTTTCAAGATCATCGTTCATATCACATTTAAATTGAGTTCTATGGTTGTTAAAGGAAAAAATACACGTTTCGTCAGCTAACAGTCTTGATTTGTTAGTAGCGGCAAGTTATTGACGTCAAGTTTTAAAGTATTGAGCCAAGTACTGACCCCTGTAGAAAGCCTTTATCTACCTGCTAAGGTCAAATTTTCAGCAATGATTGATATAAATTGTGGACTATTTTCAAAGATACCCGAAGAAAAATCCAAAAATTTTTCTTTGGAGATCAAAATGATAAAGTTTATGTAAAAGAATTGAATGATTAATTGTACTGAAAGCTTCATATCAATCAATTAAAAAACCAAGACCACTGATCAACTGTCAGCATCCTTATTGGTGTATACTATTCTTTTGATCCTCTTAAAAAGAATTTTCACTGTAGAAAAATTCAATTTCAAGGAATTGAATGGTGTTTGCCAACAAAATTTCTTGATAGTATTTTTTTCCATACAATCAATATGTGCAGTTTTGATAAATAAAGATTGGCTTCACCCCCCTGTTTAAAAGTAGCATTGGGGGCATGCTTAAAAAATGTCTGTACTCTTATCTCATTTGCTACATCAAATTGTCTAATCCCATTTACTATATGTAATTGTTAATATATATTGCGTAAAAGCGTAAAACACAAGGACTGTGCTCTAGTATTCCTTTAGAAAATAGAATGGGAGGCATATTTGAGAATCTTCAAACTCTAATCTTGTTCAGAGAATTAAATTGTCTCTACCTGCCAATGATTGTGTTAATATCTGTGTCCGGTTTGGGGCAATTTTCAGAATATCTTTAAATCTAATCTTTTTAAGCGTGCCATACGAAAATCTGCTTATTTCTACTGCACTAGTAACAACCCCAATATGACAGATGAATAAAGCAAATTGGCCCATTAAAAAAATGTCAATTTTGATATGAAATTCAGGAAATTAGAATAATGAACAGGCCTTGTTGCAAAATGTTTTATGCAAAGTTAGATTTAATGGAAATATACGTTGCAAAATTAACTTAGCTCAAAAAACATTGATGTTTCTACATTCTTGCGGTAAATATCCACATGACTGGATTTTCTATGCTAGCTCGATCAAAAAAGGTTTTAAATGAAAGCATTTAACCTTGTACATTCTAAATACATGAAAAATTATATTTAAGAAACGAAGCGCAAGATAATAACTCTATATCAAATTCGGAACCAATTGCAAGAAAGTTAGTTTTGAAGGTTCTTTACTACTGCTACTTAAGTTTATGTTTCTGATTAAAAAAGCAACGAGGTCCTTCAGTTCACCAGCTGACCTTAATTTGCTAATAGAGGCGCGTTCTTCCCCCATACTGTACCCGCTCGCACATAATATTTTCTCACCCTGTTGTATTATTACAATATTTTTGTAACAATTGCAACGCATTGGCATTTCTGGCATTAAAAAGACTGAAAGTGAAATGCTGAATGTTGTAATAGAAACAAATGCAGCATATAAAATTTCTCAATTATTGCTATGAAACGTGCAAAGTTGTGCCAAGCGGTTTTAATTTCTGAAAAGACCTACTTTGTTTCCTTTTAATAAATGCACGTGCTTACTTACGTTTACGTCTAGCCTTTTGTTGCTTTGTATATTGCTTTGTTTATGAAATATTTTCCTACACATTTTTTTTGGCGTTATATTCAGGTATATTGCTGAAGTCAGGAAGAGGTTGAAATAAAATGACACGGAGGGCGTTTATCCAAAAGGGGAGATTTTTTATTGGTGGCACGTGAGCATAAAATAACCCATGAGTGATTTGTTGTCCTTTATTATATTGGCTCCCATTTTTTACAAAATATTTGCTTTCATCAGTATATTTGTCCATTTTCTTATACTACTTTCATTTGTTCTTTCATATTATTCATATTATATTTTCTCTTTACATTTATATTATTTCATTTGCTTATCATCATGGAATTATGATTTTTTTAATGTAGTACTAGACATAAATTAACATATCTCTAATTTTGACCTCATTTTCAAATCAGGTCAAACATCGGGGATATGTAACTAGATAGATCTAATGAGTTTCTTCCATTTAAGCCTGGTTTCCATATAGCCGTTAGGCTGCCTGCGACTGCTTTCTGCCATCTTCCATCTTCCATTATCCTACAGCTTTCATTTTGTAATAGTTATTGTAATATGTAAATATCATTTCCTCTTATTTAATCCTCTTAAATTTAGCGGTGTTGTGTTAATGAAATAAACGTTATAAAGGTTGTACTTTATTTACACGCACACAAGGGAATAGAGTTATTTGTAAACAACCTGTGTATAAAAGGGGCCTCTGTTGAGCTTAAAACAAATCGAGTCTCAGTGAAATCTAAGTAAGTATTTTATCGACTTCTCTGAAATGCAACATTATGAAAGGAGTAACTAAACTCTGGACTTTTGTTTGGCATACCGTAAAAACCAGACCCTAAGACCCTAAGACCCAGGACCCTTAAGTACTAACAACAAAAAGGACCCTTAACACCAGAAGGGTTTTCACCTCGATAAGAAAATAGTTGATCGCAGTTGACTGTCATCATCGCACCATGAGGACATATCAACTGTCAAATGCGCTTTTGTGCCAGCTACGGCGTTCTTCCGCATATTATCCATATCAGCTGCTGCCTTCAGATAAGTCAGAAAGTCACAAGGAATTTGAAGATCTTTCAAAGTTATTTAACCTCTTGGAGTCAACCATAAAGAAGAGACAGATCAAAATCAAGGCCTGTGTCAGAGATGAAGATGCAGGCACTTTCTTTGGTTGCTGCTTGTCGCTTTTGCGTGATTTTTTTGATTCTGCCATCCCTATACTGAGAAAATGACATTATTGGCAAATCATGGGGTGTGTAAAAAGAAGTTTGAAATGATTCTGGAACTGATATCTACTAACAGGGGTCAGCTTCAAAAATCCCCCGCATAAAAATAAATTCAATAAATTATTTGATATTCATATTCTATAATCCAATGGCAGAGGTTTTCAGGATACATTTTTTGATATAAATATTTGTGCAAAGTTTGCAGGAAAATATCAACAGTTCTGTGGCAACCACTCTCAAAGGGAACAATAGAAAAGAAAACTAGAAAAAGCCAAAAAGGCTGCCGTAAACTTCCTTGTCGCTTTCTGACTCCATGACAGACTCATTTGAAGGCAGCGGCATACTGGAAAAACCAGACCCTATGACCCTAGGACCCCTATGATCCCTAGGACCGTTAACTACGAAGAACAAAAAAGGACCCTTAACTACTGTTGGGACCACTATTTCTAGCGGTGCCCCTATCTTAATATTTAATGATAAACGAAGTGTAAGATGAAGACTCAGAGAAATATCACCATTTTGTGTAACTATTTTGTATCAAATCCATCAATATTCTATTTCACATTTTCGCCGATCACCATCATTACTTCAACTCTACTCCAACCAACTAGCTAACTTATTACGAGTTACAACATACATAATCACGTTGACTGAGACTTTTCGATTGATATTTTCCATACGTTTGTCCTTATTAGGTATTGAGAATCAAAACATGTTATTTACCACTGCGTTAAATCAAATATAAAATCAACATTATAATTAAAACTCTACATGCTGCCATGTATCTCGGCAAGTATTACACTATTGAATGTAATAACAATAACTGTGTGGGGTCTTGGGATACCAAGGAAGGTCTGGGCCCCAACACATCTCCCCTCCTTGACTCGCTCGAGTCAAGCATAAGACGTGTGCGCCACTCTGAATCCTGCGCCGCTGCTCTCCGTACCTTTGTCACACCCTTCTTATGCTCCACAAACCACACCCTTCTTATGCTCACACCCTTCTTAATCTCATGCTCCACACCCTTTTCGCTTTCCAACCTTTCACTTTCTTGAACCGAACTTGTCACACTTTCCTTGTCGCCATTTATGTCTCCATGTCTCCATTCTATAGGGTACAATTTTTGCAAAGGCCTAGAAATAAAATCTGGTTTGTTACGTGAAATAACGCATATCTTTGCCCCTCTGATATGTCCATCTCTCCCCATTATGAGCTTGTCTATTCTCCCAAGTTTCCAAAGCGATCTTTTCACATTGTCCTCGTGTACCACTACGGTATCTCCAACTCTGATTTTGGCCGTACCTTTACCTGAAAGCTTGTGTTGCTCCCGCAAATTTACTAAGTACTCGGTTCGCCATCTGTTCCAAAAATGGTCCAGGTTTTTCAACAAATACTTGTATCTTCTAGAATACGAAGCATCGTTACTATTAATATCTTTAGCATTATCTGGCAATGTTACCAACCTTCTACCAAAAATTAAGTGCGAAGGGGTTAATGGCTCCGAATCGAGCTCTTCAAACACGTAAGTTAAAGGCCTCGCGTTAATGATACTTTCGACTTCGAGAATCAATGTGCGAAGCTCATAATCCGTTAGTTTTGCTTTCCCAATAACTTTGCGCAGACACCTTTTAACTGTCCCAACCATTCTTTCGAAAAACCCACCCCACCATGGTGTCCTTTCTAGATTGAACTTCCAAATAAGTCTCTCGTTCTGTAAAAAGGTTAAAAATGTGGGGTTTTTGTTTTCAAATTGTCGAAAAGTTTTGCTGCCGCCTTGAACGTTTTGGCATTATCAGAAATGGCAAGGCTTGGCACACCCCTTCTGGCTACAATCCTACGAAAACACCTTAAAAATGACTCCGTAGATAAATCATTGACGAGCTCTAAAGAGACCGCACGCGTAACGCAACAAGAGAACAAGGCTATGTACACCTTATTCATGCTCCCATTCTTTTCTCTTACAAACAAGGGCCTGATCTATCCAGCGCCAGTATTTGTAACGCCCCAGCAGTGGAGGTTACTGCTGGAACTACTGCGCTGGACCTACATGACACCACCGACGACAGTGATGCAAAATCAGCATTACATAATCTGCGTTTAAAGAACATAGGTCGTATGACTATCGGGTATCCAAATATAAATTCTATTAGGAATAAATTTGATGCACTATTAGCGATAGTTTCACAGAATCTTGACATTCTAATGGTCACCGAGACAAAAATTGATGATTCAATCCCAAAGGGACAATTCTATATTGAAGGTTATGCTGATCCACTACGGCTTGACAGAAATTGTGAGGGTGGCGGTCTGTTGGTCTATGTGAAAAGTGACATCACAATGAAGCAGTTAAAGTCATTTAAATTTGATCTTGACATTGAATGTATTTGTTTTGAAATCAATTTAAGGAGGAATAAGTGGGCTCTTTTCAGTGTTTACCGACCACCGTCCCAATCACAAGATCACTTTTTCGAAAATCTTGGCAAAGCAGTTGATCATTACAGTGAAAAATATGACAAATTTTTATTACTTGGGGATTTTAATACAGTAGAGACAGATCAACAGATTCGTACTTTTATGAATAGCTATGACCTCAGAAATCTGGTGAAGGAGCCAACCTGTTTCAAGGCTGACAATCCACGGTGTATTGACCTAATCTTAACCAACAGATATAGGAGCTTCCAACATACCACCACTACCGAGACAGGTCTCTCTGACTTTCACAAAATGATAGTCACAGTTTTGAAAACGACGTACCAAAAGGCTGGACCTACTGTTATTAACTATAGAAAATATAAGAAATTTTCGGAGCAGACTTTCAAACGAGAACTTAAGGAAGAGTTGGCTAGCATTAAAACAAATGATTTAGACTACAGTTCTTTTCAAAATTGCTTTGAGGAGGTACTTGATAAGCATGCACCGATGAAGAAAAAATACGCTAGGGCCAATGATGGTCCCTTCATGAATCGAGTTCTTCGTAAAGCTACTATGCTGCGTTCTAGGTTGAAAAATAGATATAATAAAAGCCGCACAGCTGAACATTGGGAAGCGTTTCGTCGACAGCGTAATTTGTGTGTCAAATTATTTAGAACGGAAAAGAGAAATTTCTATAAAAATTTGAATACTTCTGAATAATCGAACTCAAATATTACCCTTATCGATAATAATAGGATGATTTCCAATGATAAGGAAGTTGCAGAAGCCATGAACGATTATTTTATATCGATTACTGACTCATTAGGTCTTACAGAGAACAGGGAGGTTACCATAAGTACAAATGGTTTATCAGATCCTATAGAAAAGGCTATAATGAAATTTTCAAAACACCCTAGCATTAGGAAAATTCGCAGTTTTGCTCGAATTAACGGCTACTTTAAATTCCAAGAGGTTACTTTGGAACAGATGCACTCTGAAATTGAGGGGCTTAATCCTAAAAAGGCAACAACCTTTGGAAATATACCCGCGAGAGTGCTGAAAAATAGCTCTGACATTTGTTCTGAATCGTTGCAGCTTGTTTTCAATAACTGCATTCAAAATGGTGTCTTTCCGGACCTATTAAAACTAGCAGATGTCACTTCCCTCCACAAATCGGAGGAGAAAACCAATAAGAAAAATTACAGACCGGTTAGTGTATTACCAACTGTTTCAAAGGTTTTTGAGAGACTTATGGATAAACAAATTATTGATTATATGAAATCTTATTTATCGTCACTTTTATGTGGTTTTCGTAAAGGGTACAATGTGCAGCACGCATTAGTTCGAATGCTTGAAAAATTGAAAGCAAGCTTAGACAGGGGAGAAAATGTTGGCGCAATCCTTATGGATCTCTCGAAAGCCTTTGATTGTATTAAACATGACCTCCTTGTAGCAAAACTAGATGCTTACGGATTCAGCCATGAAGCATAAAGACTCAGTTTTGGTGCTACTTGGTATATTGGTGCTATATTGAAGCTACTTGGAAAATAGGCATCAGAGAGTTAAGATTAATGGATCATTCAGTACCTACAAACAACTGTTCCTTGGTGTTCCGCAAGGATCAGTTCTTGGTCCCCTCTTCTTTAACATCTACATAAATGACTTACTCCTCTCCTTAATGGGTACGGATATCTGCAATTACGCGGATGATACAACTCTATATGCGTGCGATAAAAATCTCAATAATGTAATTGCAAGGCTAGAGAATGACTCAAGTATAACTATCCAATGGTTCGCTGATAACTTTATGAAGTTGAATACAAACAAATGTCATTTACTTATTCTTGGCAAAAGTTCTAATCAACAGGTTAAAGTTAATGTAGGAGATTGTATCATAGAAAACTTGGAAGAGGAAAAGCTACTAGGTGTTGTGATAGACAAAAAACTCAGTTTTGAGACACATATCAGTAGGTTATGTAAGAAGGCTGGTAGCAAACTCACCGCCCTCGCTCGCATATCTGGATACATGGACGCTAATAAACTTAAAATCTTAATGAGAGCATTTGTAATTAGCCAATTAGAATACTGTCCACTAGTCTGGATGTTCCACAGTAGGCACTTGAATAGTAAGATTAATAGAATACACGAAAGAGCTCTGAGAATTGAATACAAAGACTATGATTCTAGCTTCAACACTCTGCTAGAAAATGATGGCTCGGTAAATATTCATGTAAAACACCTGCGAAATCTTATGATTGAAATGTTTAAAACAAAGGGAAATATCAACCCTCCTTTTATGAGGGAGATTTTCTGCGAGCGTCTTGCTGTTTATAATTTGAGAAATAATAATGAATTTATGGTACCAAGAGTAAGAACAACCATTTATGGAACCGAAACTATCAAATATAGAGAGCAGCGTCTTTGGCTCTCTTTACCTCAGCACATAAGGAATGCTCAATCTATTAATGAGTTTAAGAAAGAAATTAAAAGCTGGAATGGCACAGACTGTACATGCAAACTATGTAGGACGTTCGTGCCACAGCTTGGTTTTTTGTAATTCTATCTTTTAAATAGCTCAGGTTTTTATATTTTTTTAATGGATCATTTTGTACTTGAAATTTTATGTATTTAATCTCGTATGTATTTAGTTGATGTAGTAGTTTTAATAGTTGGCTTGGATTAACTCATTTCTTTGTAAATAGCTATGTAGCGCCAACTTCAAATAAATTGATTATTATGGCTAATTAAGTGATTCACAGACACCTAGATGTTAATTGGTCCGGATAATATAGGAGGGAGCAGTCGGCAATAAGCTGACAAAGGTCCCATTCTGTCATCTCAAGTTTACATAGACAATGTCTGTCTCAAAATCCTGGCTGTTCCTAGCAGTGCTGTCTTTTGTATCACCTGTAACTTTACATCAATTCCGATCTTTTCCATGTGCTCTTCAAAACAATATGATATACACCCTAATGCCCCAATCACAGATTTGCCCCAATGCCCCAATCACAACCATTCCACAGATTTCCGATTTGCTCCTTTAATGGTTGATATTTCTCAATTTTTTCTTGTTCTTTACTTTTTACCCTATTATCACCAGGAATGGCAATATCGATTATCTTTACATCCTTTTTTCCTTGTCAACAACAACAATGTCTGGCCTTCTAGCTTCAACAACCCTATCACATTGAATCATAAAATCCCACAGTAGCTTAAACTTGTGATTCTCTAAAACTCCTTCAGGTTTCTGCTCATACCATTTTGTGGCTCTTTCAAATCCGCACTTTTCCGCTAACAACCTTGCCACATTGTCGTGTCGTCTTTTATATTCTGTCTGTGCCAGTTTAGCACATTCGCTCACCAGATGACTAACTGTTTCTCCCTTGTCACCGCACATTCTTCATAAAGGCGTATCACTTGTTTTATCAATGTAGTGCTTGGTATAATTAGTGCGCAGCGCCTGCTCCTGTGCACTACACACTAATGCTTCAGTGCACCCTTTCAGATCTCCGTTCCTTAACCATGACCAGCTTTTTTCCCAATCAATTCCGTCAGTATTCTTAGTAAATTGCCCATACATCGGCTTATCTTTCCATCGTTTCTCCAAGCGCCTTTTTGTCTCATTCTTATGTTCATTCGGTGCTACTGCCTCTTCAGTATTCATTGCCCCAAGGTCTCTCACTTTTGACATAATATTGCCTCTAGCATGCTTCACATACCAAGCCAGGTTGTTTGTCTCATTTTCAGTACAATACTCACAACTTATTAGCCCCCTACCACCCTTTTTCCTGCTAACATAAATTCTTGCTACATCGCTTCTAGGATAAAGTTCTTTATTCATTGTCATTAATATCCTGGTTCTTCTGTCCATACTTTCTAGCTCGTCTTTTCTTCATTTAATTATTCCTGCTCCATAGCGCATCAGGGAGATTGCCCAGGTATTTGTTGCTTTAATCTTATTCCTTCCATTGAGTTTTGACTGCATGACAAGTCTAACCCTTCTGAAATATTATCTTTGAAATATTTTCTTCATCTCCTCTTCTTTTATTCTATCCAACTCTGTTATTCCCAGATACTTATATCCTTCTTCACCAACCTCCTTGATCTTTTCCCCATTGACAAGTTCAATCTCTGCACTTCCTGTTAATTTTCCCCTTCTTAAGGTCACAACACCACACTTTTTTATCCCAAATTCCATTCCTATATCTTGACTAATAAGGTTGACAGTAGATG